GCGCAGCGGGATGTGGCATTCATGGTGCGCTGCCTCATTACGGTATATGCATAAGGCGGTGCGTCTCAGCCGCCCCTTACCCGCATTTCTTCTAGAACTTCTCGTCTCAATTGCTCGACTGCAATCTCGGTTTCGAGTGTCTTTCCAATGCCCTTCTTCCAATTCTCCTCCAGCCCCTTCATCTCTGCTGCTACTTCTTCTTGCTGGCGTCTCCGGGCGACGGTCAGCACGTCAATGAGACGCTTCGTTTCGGCGAGGTCACGCTCGAAGCCTTTCAGCTCGTTCTCGAGCCCCCAGTTGCCGATCAACCATGCGTTCTTGCCCCATTTGTCCAACAGGTGCAAATTTTCAGCACGAGTATCGAGGTAGGCGTAGGAAATGTAGGCCTTCTGGAGTGAATCGGCGAGGCGAACACGATCTTCTGCTGTAGATGGTGCCCCGGAGTCGGGGAAAGGCTCTTGTGTTTGATAACGCTCCAGATCGATGGCTTTGAGGGGCTGTTTGGCGGCGACGCGCTCCAGCTCAAGTTCGACGAGAGGGGAGAAGGAGGGTTCTTTGTAGTTTGGCGCAGGCGCCGGGGTAAAGGTGGATAGTTCAGCTCGGATAAGGCACTCGGCAGCTTCGCGCTCTGCTGGTGTGGGCTCGTCATCAATATCTGTGGGCGTCGTTCGTTAGTCAGAGGGTATGCGCGGCAGATGATTGGAATAACAAACGTACATGGCAACGACTCGTGGAAGGCGTTCAACGTAGACATTTTGCAGATGTTCCCAAAAAGGGCTTCCTAACACGACAAATAAGGATAAAGACGACTTCGGTACGATCAAGCGGTCCGTATTGCCGGTGGAGGGGTTCGGAGGGGTTGATAGTATGGGCGATTTAGATAGTGTTAGGTATCTTTGCCGATGTTAAACGGGCGCGAGGCTGCCGCGATGGTGGTTCAGAAATTTAGAACCTTGGGACGCATTGACGCACTGACGCACTGACGCACCTCAGATTCGATACCTACCTAGGTACCTACGTGCCTACCCACATACCGTAGCTTAGCTGCCCGATAAGAAGATAAAGCCGGCTACAAGGAAGACGGGCCCGTGCCTACATTTGGCTTTGTGGGATCGGGTGCACAGGCCATCCCGCTGTCGATCATTGGTCTGGGGTGCGAAGCTTGCGAGAGGTCCACTCACACAAACGCAACGCTTGAGCAGCCAGATTGCCTAGGCAGACAAATCAGCCCTCTCCAGCAGTCGACTAGCGACGCTTCAGCGCTAGCGGGCTGAAAAGGTCCCCTGGCTTTAGGGAACCCCACCCGCCATTGCCTGCCCCGAGTGCCTGGGCTGGACTCGCTCGACGCAATCCGTCCCGACTTTCCAGTTCTATGACAGGCGAGCACGCAAGACATCGATTAACTTGGCAGATGCATGATGGGACGACGCGAGACCTGACGTGCAGGCATGGCGTTAGTCGACGATGGCTTCTTACCTTGCCCCACCGGGGGCTTTCTTCTTTCTGGTTTTTCTCCAACAGCGCTGGGCGGGCTTACTGAAAGGCTGACGCAAGGTGCTAAAAATCTGCACTTGCCTGATGAAACTGGTTGTTTTCTTTGACAGAAGCAAGCCTCACATTTATCCGAGAAACATGACAACACCAGAAACACCACAGAGGCGTCGACGACATCGGAATGGAAGCATTCATTACGCATTCATACCTTCTAGACGGCTGCCACGTGGAAGCAGGCTTCACTGATCTCTCGCAATTTCATTTGTTCTCGGAATGAATGTCTTCCAGAGAGTCTATCGCAACGTATTTCCACCGGTCGAGAACTATTCAACATTACCAGTGGATTCTCCCATCGGCACACAGTACGGGACGAACTATTCAGCTAGAAATGCACCCGCGTCCCAGATTCGATCCACCCCAAAAGTCATCGTCTTGACGCTTGGTTCCTGATCGCTCTTCGTTCGTCGTTACCGAGGCGCTTTCCCATTCCGTCGCCAGTAAGTCGTGCAGGACGGATATGGCGGATGGGATCCGGAATGTAACCCGGGGGCCTGGAGCAACCCAAGAGGCGACAGTCGCGAGACGTCGCCCGCCCGTCAGTGGTCCGCTACCCCGAGCTATTTGACCTTGGTGTTCCATCCGTGCCTCGCCCCCGTCGGACTATGGAAAGGTGGCTGTCGCCGGCCTTGCCGGAAGCAGTGGTCCGGGTACGCTCTGTTCGCGATTCCAGCCTGGATCGTCATCTTCTCATCGAGTCTCCACCACGTGAGGGGGCTAAGAGGCGGCCGCCTTCTTGGCTTAGTGTGGCGCGCTCCTGGCTGAACTATCGCATGCGGCACATCATGTTGTTGAAAGGAGGTCAACTCGGGAACTGCGAAGGATGAAGTCGCCTACCCTTAGATGTCGCTGGCAAGGCCAGCCCTGAGTGCCCCCTTTTATGGTTCGTTGTTTTGTTGTGGACGGTGGCTAGAGAAGAAGAAAAACGTGACAAACGGCCTTGTGATACCAATGCTCCTTCTTTAAGAAGCAAATACCCCCATTGATACGGTCCAGGGTCTTGGGAAGGTTTTCTCGAACTTTATTTGTCGACAAAACGGTCTCACCTCGGATATCATGAGGTTTCCACTGTCTTTTGCCTTTTTGGTAGCTGCGCTACTAGCTGTTACGGCCGCAGCTCAGAAAGTCAATAGCATCACGGATGCTGTAGCCCAGCTACCTACATGCGCGGTACGGTTTCTCTTATCTCCAAGTTCGGTCCGCCCACGTCTAACTTTGCTCTAGGTTACCTGTATCCTATCGGCTGTCAAGGACTCGCCATGCGGGTTGACGAACACGACGTGTATCTGCAACGATGCGAAGTTCGAGTCAGATACAGAGACCTGTATAGTTGGGACATGCAGTATCAAAGACACACTTCGTCAGTGATGCCCTTCTGCCTGACTCTAAGTGGCATATTCTAACAGCCTTTAGATGCCAAAGCTGTGTTCGAAACCACTTGTGATAAACTTGTCCGAGATCACAGCGCCGAATATGTCCGACTTACATGGGTCCTGCTGGGGCTCACCACCTTTGTCGTCGCAGCTCGCTTGATATACAAGTATTTCTCGTCAGCAGAGCTCGGGCTCGATGACATGTTCACCCTTCTCGCTTACCTGGCTGTTCTTCCGTCGTTCATTATTAACCTCGTTGGGATTGTCCCCGCCGGCCTCGGTAAAGACATCTGGACCCTCACATCACATCAAATCGAGAGCTTCGGTTACTGGTTCTACATCCTAGAGCCGATGTACTTTGTACAGATGGGCATTGTCAAGATGGCAATCCTATGCTTCTACATGCGGATCTTCGACCGGGCTGGACTTGGAAAGCTACTTTGGGGCACAGCTGCCTTCAATGCCGTCAACACCTTCGTATTCCTCATGGTCGGCATTTTCCAATGTACACCCATTCAATACTACTGGACGAGATGGGACGGCGAGCAAAAAGGAACCTGCATTAACATTAATGCAGTTCCATGGGCGAACGCTATCATCAGCATTTTACTGGACCTGTGGATGCTGTATCTTCCTTTGTCGCGAATCCGAACTCTCAATCTGCACTGGTGGAAGAAGCTAGCCGTCACACTTATGTTCTGTGTCGGTACTTTGTAAGTTCTGATTGAATTCATGACTGACAATGTAGACATTGTGCTAACATCGCCAAGCGTAACTATAGTCAGTATACTAAGACTTCAGTCGCTTGTACGGTTCGCGAGTTCATTGAACCCTACATGGGATCAATTTGACATTGCATTCTGGACATGCCTCGAGGTTCCCACCGGCATCATCTGTTGTTGTCTCCCGGCTATCCGTCTCATTCTCATCAAGGCCTTTCCCAAACTCTTTGGAATGCTCACCAAGCGCTACGACACACAAAAGTATGCGGAATCACCCTCAAGCGCCGCGGACGGGAGCCGAAGCACGAACCGCATGTCTCGTCCTCTCGGCGACTCCTCGACCACGGAGCTGCAGTCAGCCCTGCGAGGCGGCAAAGGCATCGTTTGCACTAAGCAGTTTGCGCTCGAGACACATGACACGTCGAGTCTCTACGCGATGCAAGATCTCGAGTCCGGGAGTGCCAAGAATAGCCTTTCACAAAGCCACCGATCAACGTCGATCTCGCACACTTCAAGCCCTGTCTCGGATTACGGCGCGTCTGGACGGAAACAGTCTGGTCCATCTGAACACTAAGCACAACCTAGGATCGGTCTTTGAATAGGAAACGGTACCCGGAAAAGCATAGAATCTAGACGGCTGGAATTGATGACTAGCGGCACTTCAGCTAGCGACGCAAGACTTTTTTATTACATATTCTACTTTGTCATTTTTCGGATAGAAACAATGCGTAGGCGTTAGGAGTTATTCGGGACTATTTGTTCTCATGATTCAATACCCAGTCACATATGTACCAGTATCAAATCAACGGAGCAGGAAAACGAAGAGGAGAACGCTTCATGAGAAGCTGACAACCAGCGAATGGGAAGACTGCTATGCCACGTTCTGGGGTGTAAGTGTCGAGATGTAACATTAAAAATCCCGTACCTGCGGGCATAGCAGAAATAAGGAAAGAAAACTATTTGAAATATCATAGCCGCTCTAACCGCTCTTGATTTCGACTGGGCGTTATATGTTGCGATGCAAACAGCTTATTTCCCGTACTTCTTTGTTCGTGTGTAACGATGTCATGATAGCCTCCCATTCAAATACAAATAACCCTCAAGGGCTTCTGTACAGTAGTTAGTTGCTCGGATTTCCCGCCGCACGTCGCGTTCTTATTTATACGAATACGAGCATCGGAGCAGATTGCAAGCGCTATGAGCCTACTCCATACGCCGTTATTTGGAAGCTACGCATATCCAGATTTCTGGACCTGATGCCTTTGATCTCAATCCCAAATTGCGAGCTTGATCACACCTACTACCTAACTGGTTCCCAAGACTTTGTTCTGCCATTGCCATCTGTGTTTTGAAACGCTGTAACATCCACAGAAAGAGCGTTGTATGCATCTTTCCTCTTTTCAGATCTTGGAATGGGAGAGGCAGGCGCAGGTCAGGCAGTGGCTCCTTCCTGTGACCGACATGCAAAGGAAGCTTTGCCGTTGTGGGAAGTACCCAGCATTCTGAGAAACTTCTGTCATGTTCTACCGTGAATTCTTTCTCCCACTTGGTCTTCTTCAATGAGGCATTGCCCTAGATATCTTCCACAATTGATGCTTATTATACCCTCCCGAAGCAACACCTATGATGTCGGCTCCATCCATTCAGGCATTCTATCAAAGGAATACTCCTACCACGCCTCGGGATGCTGCGAGAGATGGGACGGGATTTCCGCGAGCCGACGGCTTCACACAAGCAGAAGTTGAGTCTGGAAATAACCCCCTTGGCCGTGTCCGGAACTCATCGGAAGAATACTTGGAGGTACATATTGGACAAATTGAGCCGGGCCCGAATCGGATATGCTTCACCGGCCGCGTCGTCAACTACACACCGGCTCTGCTCGACGCCAAGAATAACTACAGTCGCCCGGCACATCAGCTGATTGTCGTTGATGGAACTGGCGCAATAGCAGTATTTATCACCTCCTATTCTCGAGTGCATCCCCTCTCAGAAGCATCATGCTGATCCCTTTACATAGGTAAAGGTAGTTCCAATCGGAATTCCAGCATCACTTCTTGTGATAGGACAGCTCGTCACCATATGGGCCAGTTGGGTAGGATCCGCAGGAGGTTCACATTGTGCCAGTATTCCATATGTGACCATGTGGACGCCCATCAATCCCACGGACGTTGGAACCAAGCAGTTCATTCAGTTCCTCCCAGACACTGTTGAAAATCAACAACTCTACAGAATACCTTTGGAATGCAACCGAGGCAAACAGGACCCCAAACCGCTTCCAGGCTTGATGACTCTCTGTCAATACCTCAAAACGGGACACGAAACTACATGGGCTCGGATTGTTGTCTGCGTCAAGAGCATCGGATCTCGGAAACGTGTGAAGTCGCGAGACAAAGTGAGAGAGTGGGAACTTCTCGAGATCACTGTTTGGGACGACACCGCCAGCTGCGTGTTGACTCTCTGGGAAGACAAGGCCAACTCCGCCAGGTTCTGGAAACCCAACGAGACGATGCTACTCTTCACCAGTCCGAAATTTGTACCCCCTTCCGACAACAAGTCCGGCCCCTTGAGTGCCAGCATCGGTCTTGATCACAATACCTTGATTGATGTCGATCCTGACTTCCAGGATGCCAACTGGCTTCGACAGTGGGTGAAGAAGAGAGTCAAGAAGGAGAGTATCTATGTGCCGTTTCCCAAAGACATATGGAATGCAGAAGAAGCTGTCCATGGACTAATTCGGGCGCTCTTCACCTTGGCCGAGGTAGATGACTTCGCTCGCGCTGACCCGGTCAGTGACTTCACAGGCAAGCTAAACCTTACCATACTCGGTATAGACCTTCTGGGTCTTCATCGCAGAAAGATGCTTTGCTGTATAGAGTGGTGAGAAAGAGCCCTTTTTCTTTGAGTCAAGTCTACTCATAGAAATGGAGGAGGGCACCACAGCTGACGAATGTGCCTCCTTTAGTTGTGGAGTTCCGCTATATGCAAACCAAACGTTCGCAACGTGCAAGAACTGCTTGCAGGAGAAGTCTCTCGTTCTTAACCCCCGAATCATGGGTATCCTGGCAGACGAAACAGGTTGCGTTGCACAGGGGAAGCTTGTCTGGAGTGACCAGGCCTGGAGCGAGCTCTTCTTCCCCGCCTTTGAGTCGAGTGGCACGGAGAACACGGAGCCGGAGGTAGCGGGAGAGGCGAAGATACGTCCGTCTTTGCCTCGTCCTGTCGCGTCGTGGGAAGAGCTTACTTTGAAGGACGCCACTGGATTCCGGATTTTGGAGGAGCAAATGTTGTACGCTCGTTTTACTTTGACATTCGGCTAGTCTCCGTTTGTCGAACGGCTGTGTGTGCTTGGAGTTGAGTGGTGAAGGGTTCGTATTTTTCAAGAGTGGCTCAAAAGCGGGGGTTGCAGTTCTGTTTCGTCATGGTGTTGGTGGTGTAAAGGGGTGCTCAGCTGGCGACGAGCGGTTAGGACAAGGAACTCAGAGGACGTAGCCCGCGTATTGAGGGGAATGTGAAGAAAGGCAGATACGGCGAGGATTTTGCTCTCAGATGGCGCAAATGACTGCAAGGGGGATCCGAGGTGGCTTGCCCACTGTCGCCTGCTCCTATCAGGTTGAATTGAAATTGTTCTAGCAGATGTGTGCTTTGGGGAGGTGACGGCGTGGTGATGCTCTGCTCAGGCTAGTATGATCATGTTCTGTGCTAAGAAGACGTCCCTGACCAGCAGCTTGGATAAGTCCCAAGTTGCTGGATACCTTGAGGAGATTTACGTTTCGATGGCCGTTCTTGCTGAGAAACTTTGGAGCATTGACGTCTGAATCTGTGTTGATTCTTGGTTCTCGTCCGTGAGCTGGAGACTTCGTGTCCAACGTACATATGAGCTAAGTACGGTATTGCTGCAGGTTTTGGGCCACGTCCGTGATTCACGTTTACCTGTCCACAAATGTCATAGGTTCAGCTCATTACGTTACCGTGAGCGGTCGTGGGAGTCTATCATGGGAATTCAGATAGCTAGAACACTGGCGGGCAACATTCAATCACGGCATCATAGTCCCCTCGAAATATCTGGGAGGGGGAACGGCATCACTATTTTCTGGTAAACTATGTCACAATTTCATAGGCATACGAGCATCACGGACAGGTGTGGCAAAAGGACTGGTACAAGGCATGGGTCTATTACTAGATCCATTGGCCGTTTGATTTGTGATAATACAAGGGCGATTTTTTCGTCGCCAGGTCATAAGAAGTTCGTGATGCATACTGTCATCCGCCACCGAAGCAGTCAATCTTTCGAGTAGAGATGCCCCCAGATCCCCATTCTGTTCCTCGAAATACAAAGCCATATGTCGCCGAACCCTTTTCGAAAAGAGAGATAATTGAAGCAAATGGCAGAATGTCCTCCCATGCATATTGTAAAATGTGTTTGTGTTGTAGTGTTTGTTGTTAACATGGTTCGTAGGACGAACAAGAAAAGCCGTGAAGTGAACATTGACTGCCTTGCCGGATAGCGGTTATGAGAGTGATTGCACTCGAGTAAGAGACGTCACAGTCGTATAATTAGTGTTTGGTGATCTTCTCGTCACCGTAGGCAGAAGAGCGACCACTCTCGGAGGACTCGGTCTTGGTGAGGTCCTCGCCGTCTTCCTCAGAGGGGCCGTGTATGGACTCCTCAAAGACGGGCTCGGGTTCGTTGACGTCGAACTTGGTCTTGAAGGCGCCGATGTTATCAGCGAAGCCACTGCTGTTGGTGCGGCGGCGAGCATTGGTGAAGCGGAAGTCCTCGTCAATGACTTCCTCGCCAGCATTTCCCCTGTGAGACATGAAAGTCAGCAATTGAATCTTGTTAAGTCAAGCTGGTGTGCGTTGGCAAGAAACGGCGGAGCTTTGAAGTTGCCAAGAAGGGCGTGTGTAAGTGGGGTAGAGGGGGTCCAAACTAACCAATTGCTTCTGCCGCCGCCATTCTTCTTCACCTTCTTGGGATCGACGCCCTCGTGGCCGTGCTTCGCAAAGTAGCGGGGCAAGTGCTCTTGGGGAGAGGCAGTTCCGTCGGCCAGGCCGGCGTGGTCACGGTCGTTATACTTGTGAGATCGAGTCACTGAGGCGAGCGTGTTAGTCGAAGATGCCAGGTGCCATGTTGCTGCAAGAATTGGGATGAAGACACAACGATTCAAGAGTTGAACTTGCCCGTCAAGGGTGTTGATGTTCGATTTGGCAATGGACATCATACGGGTCGGGGATGATGAGGAAGAGCATCACAGAAAGTGTGGTGATGCGGGGGAGGTGGAAGCTTCACAGTGTTGGGAGGGGAAAGGGATACTTACTCCTGATGGAATTAGTGTTGTTGAAGAGTGACTATAAGCGTACAGGGTGCTTAAAAGGGTTCAAGAAGGGGGCTGGTGAGATTTGGGAGGGTTGTTGTTGGTTGAGGTTGGTCAAAGCTGATCGTCGTTGATGAGTTGATTCGATGGTTTGAGGAACAGCTTGATGGGTTGTTATGAAGTGAGGATGATGGAGGGGAGGAGGGGAAGATATGTAGATGAGGAGAGCTACTCAGGATGCTTTTAAAGAACGAATGCTCGAGAGGAATGGCAGCCTATCACATCACGCGATCATCAGATAGCTTGCCCAATGGGGTGGCATGGCAAGGGGGGAAGTAGCGAGCAGGTCCGGGACGGCTGGGAGTTCCTTTGGGAAAGTTGGATCGCGTGACTTGATACAACGGACGGAGGGGCTGCTGCAAGGGAAGCACATCAGAACGGCAGGAGCGAGCTGGACGAGGAAAGGCAGGCCGCAGGCCCAAGAAGAACGGAGTACTACTGGGGGCCATTGGGACACTGGACGGGGACCGGCCGGCATGGACTGGGAGTGGCCGGGAGTGGAGACGGACGTGGACTGACGCCAGACCAAACCTTCATTATGCCACCTTTTTGTTGTCCCTCTCGCGGCATTGAGGAATTGGAGACTAGGGAAGCTGTTGTCTTTGCTGGCCGGCCGGTCCCCAACACCGCATAGCCCCACGCTTTACGTGCCTTTCCTTTGCTGTTCTATTCTACCCCTCCCTCTCATCCGCAAGTCGGTATGTTTGGGGTTCTTGGACATCAGGGCTTCTTGTTGCTAACACATCCAACATTGACTGCTTTCTTTCTATGAGAGCTGTTTCCAATTGTTCCTTCCTCAAAGAAGTCTCGCTCCTGCTTCTGGTAGATGGCAAGCCATGACTGATTGACCACGGGAGCACAGTGACGCAAAGGGGCCCACCCGGATCCGGGGTCTCAGGTACGAGCCCGCAGCTGGGACGGGTGGCCAGATTGCGGGGTAGTGGATACCTCAGTACCAACCGCCGCTAACCCGGTACATCGTCCAAGCCACTGCATCGCAGCGCCCACCCAAGTACCGGAGCAGCACGAGACCAGTACCTACGAACCCTTGCCATCGAGCCATTTCGGGGCCGCAACTGATCCAAAACTGCCCATCGTCAGTCTCGTCTCACACCCGTTGGTTCCTTTTTTGTCTTTCCATCAGTCGTCGTTGTTATCGTCGTCGCCGTTTGCTCAACCGCTTCTTTTTCGTTTGTTTACATACATTCCTGCAAGGTAACGCCGCAAGGGCCTCAATTGTGCCATTTTGCTGCTTGGTTCCGAGGTCGGGGGCCCAAGCTGGCACGCGTGGCTGAGGCAGCTTCTTTCGTACTTCGTTTGGGCCAATGTGGCAGCTTCGCTATTCTGGCCTGAGCATGGCGCCCCCATTGCAATGACTCCGTCACGGCAAGCTGCATCGACGGGGCACATGATCATGCTCATGCTCGGTGACTGCCGTCTCCCTCCCGTTTTCCACTTTCCAGGCTCCACGTCTCCTTACTACCCTTTGATCTTACCTAACGCATACTGCCTCACGGAGACCTCTCGAAGCTCCATGAGAAGCTGCTCAGCTCCCAGCTCGATGGGGAATGGGGATCCCCAATGGGTCCTCCAAACTGTCAGCTGCCACAACTTTGCTTCCAGATCATGGACCCCCAAGCCTCAAGGAATTACGTCCCAACAAGTCTGAGATGCCGCTGCATCTCGCGGAGAATTGGCCGTATGACCTGGAATTCCGCGTTTCAATCTCGGTCCCCGAAACCCCTGGACCGGCCAACCTTGTCAGGTCCGAGTCAATTGACCAATGGCCCCCACCCGGCTCACGCGGAGAGCTTTCTAGAGCTCTCTCGAACCCAACCTCGCCTCCCCCGATCTCGCAATGCATCCCACGCTGAAGTCTGCTTCGACTTCTCAACTGCCTTCCAACTTTAGACAAGATTAGATTCATGGCATCGATTCGGCGCTTGGATCGGAGAGTTCACAAGCAGCAAAGAGATTCTCTCTCTGTCGGCCCTGACAATCTGTTGACAGCTTGTATCCGTACACACACACTCGTTAGCCCCCTGACTCGCACGAATCGGTTCCCCGCCGTCTGTGCACTTGGCAACACTCCTCTGATCTACCCTGCAGCTGATTGTCTCGACGGCGCGCTTGACGTGTCTCCCATCTACCTGCCGCATTCCCATCAAGGCTGTCATCCCATTCGTCAGTTGACAAACCGGCCGATGGGGGCCGGGTCCATCTTCTAACGATCTCCGGCTCCGTTTGCCAGGCTTTACCTCTCGGCCCTATTGACTTTATCTGGTCCGGATCTACTGTCGTATCTATCTGGAGCTTTATCTTCTGCGGGCCAGATAATGCTATCAGTATATGTGGATTATACGGTCATGCCGACGATTGCGGAATCGATGTTTCCAAGATTCTACCCGTAGAGTCACGAAGGCAGAATTGGCAGGTAAGTGACAGGCGATTTCGGAGTGCTCGTCATCCCAAACTGCCTCATTTACAGCGGGGTCCGGTCACTATCGATGGGGCTCGACGCAAGCGGCCACGCCTCAGCTTCTCCACGAGCCCCGTGACAATCGTGCCGTGATTTGTTCCACTTCTACCCTCGCATCGAACAGTCTCGACCTGGTTTCGCTAAAGATTGTGTGAGTCAAGTCTCTTATCACGACAGCTTGCTGTGATGCCTCAAACTTTCTCTGTACAGCAACGAAATCTGATCGGCGTCGTCGTGATTGAGTCATCGAATCTTCGCCAAAGTTCCACGCCACAACGGTCGACTCAGGACTTCGCCCTCTACTCGTCGGAGCCCATTCTCGCGCAATCCCAGCCTGTCAGTTTGGCATTATCATTCTGCTTATCACGAATTGCTCGTTGTGATGTTGTGATCATGTCGTGATGTAGACAGTTCTAGATATCTTGCGTACTATTCGCTCGCAGAGACGTCACTCATGCTTGGTCACATAATCGAATCCATTTTCGAACATGACTCTTGCGTCCCTCAACTATCCGAAGATCGCTTCTGAGGCCGTGAAGACACGTTGCTTTTGAACCTCTGCCTAAGGATAATACAGCATCATCGCCCGTCATATGCCTTGACAATTCACTGTGCGCCCAGATCAACCAAAGCATCCTGGCTGCCTCTTACTAAAGACCACGGCAATCTTCACTTCCTTGATGCCATAGATTTGTCAGGAGAAGAACGTTGTCTCGCATTCCTGTCCGCCGAAGGGTCATCATACACTTCTAATGAAAGACAAGGACTGTTCCGATTCGGGCTCATCTGCTTCTTTTCTGGCAGACCGCAACGCCCTCTGATCATAGCTGGTCACATCAAATTCGCTAAGGCGTGAGCTCAAGCTTAGCTTGAAGTTTTGGAAGAAACCCATCGCAAACTTGTTTTGGTGGCGCCTCGAGCCCTCGAAGCCGTTCCATCGAAATAGTTAAAGCGGAAATCAGATTTGTATAAGCTCCAAGCCTTACATTATTATACATGCAAAAGGCAAAGGCATTTCCTTCGTAGATCTGATATGAGCTGATGTTGCCTCCACAGTGGCCGGAAGCATTAAGACGAGAATCCGCAATGTTCCCGTGGCAGATATAAGTCTCTTCCCGCCTCGGCGCTTTTCGTTGCTCGGTCGCTTGGTCAAAATCATTGAGGTCACCGAATTGTCCAATGCTTATGACCTCTGTGTTCAATTACCGCCTCACGCTGTAGTAACATCTGAAGAAGTACAAAATTCATTCCACCACCTTGCAGATATCTGATGATGGCAAACGTAGGTAGCAAAGCTGAATTTATCGAACGAGGTTTTTGACAATGACGGATCATCCAGGCTTGGTCAACGGCGCTAGACTTCATTATTGGACCATTTGAAAAGATCCGTCAATGACGATGAAGACATGCTCCCGGATGTTCGGCAGATGATTGTGACATACCAAACAACCCAGCGTTGGCTCACTCGGCTTCCGTACATTTCCTGTAAAGATATTATCAAAAACTGTCATCGCGGTGACGGTTATGGGGATCTTTTGACCCTGCATGTTGGATGCCGGCGTGACGAAGAGTTGTCAAATCACCTTCGGAGTTCCCGAGAAACCGAGATAGCTCAAGGCCAGTAAGGAGCAACATAGCATCCCGAGCTCCGAATTACTCACCTATCACAGTATATGAGATTGAATCAATCAATGGTCATCCTTTTGCAGAGACATGCAGCAATCCGAAGAGTCTGCCACCACTGACGTCGACGCTCTAGCCGAATGACATTGGCTGCAAACGCGGCATGCAAGTCGACTTGTCAACAGAAGCAAGAGATTGATTGCCTATCAAACACTGTCCGTATTATACTGAGTTTTGAGTCTAACTTGAGTGAATAACGTGTCGGCAGCTTCCGAACATCAACACCTTCATATCTAACAACGAGCCCAGAAGAATCTATACCCTGCCGCAAGAAGTCTCGAAGAGCTAGAACCACCATTCATCCCATGTTGAGATCCAAGCACGGCCATTAAAACGCCACTCTATATGATTAATGATCGTTCGTGTAAAGTGTCAACGTAAGCCACGCACAAAAACCCAAAAATCTGGAGTCTACAAGTTGCTTTCTCGGATCATCTCAAACAATTTGCCACGAGCTGAACAACCATGAGTTCGCGGCGCTTCGCGCACATACCAAGAATCAACGAAGAAGCCTAAGAGACAACAGATCTAGCCGCGTCCCTTTCACAGCCACACACGTTTCAACGCAGGCGCGCTTCTTAAACTTACTCAAGCTTCCGGTTTATCGCGAAAAGCTTCATTATTTACGCATGAACAGGGAGGCTTAGATATCTCCAGGTTACATGTACGAACGTCCAAAACAGAGATGGTCTCCAAAGCTTAACATGGTAAAGGAAATAGCATCAACTAGGAGGGCTAGGTAACGGTACCGGCCCCGGGTAGCCAGTCATCTTTGCGTTGCTCACCAACATCTCTTTGGACCCCCAAAAACGAACGAGGCTAAAAATGTCCTTGTCGTCGAACAGGGTGCTGACGTGAGTCGATGATGAGTAACATCCCGCTTTGAAAGAT